TCGCTGCAAGGCTTGTAAATACTGGCGCGCCCGGCGGGAGTCGAACCCACGACCTTTGGCTTCGGAAACCAACACTCTATCCAACTGAGCTACGGGCGCAATAGAAGTTGGGATTATAACAAAGTGTTGAGTTTAAGGGCTTGTTATCGTGTTTCTTTTCCTTTTAACTTCTTTATTTTTATATGTATAATCATGTTTTGCATTACAATTTGATACAATAAAACACCACACATTTTTTTAATAGGATAAGAACGTAATGAGCAATCATGATAATCAATATAAAGGCTCAACTTTTTGGCAGTTAATTCTTGTAATTCCAGGTTCTATTTTGGCTTTTACATTGATTATCGCATTAATTGCTAAAGCTTATAATGTTAAGCCAGACGCTGCCTTACCAGAACCAGTGGCTGCTATTTCTGAAGTTGAGGAAAATATTATGCCAGTCGCTGAGGTGGAAGTGGCGAGCGCTGATGCCACACCTGCGGCAGAAAAAACAGGTGAGGAAGTATATAAAAGCGTTTGTATGATGTGTCATGCGGCCGGGATGATGGAAGCACCAAAATTTGCTGATCAAGCTGGATGGGCGCCTCGTATTAAACAAGGTTACGATACTTTGGTAAATCACGCGATTAATGGCATTCGTATGATGCCAGCTAAAGGTGGTAATCCTAGTTTAAGTGATGCTGAAGTCGCAAATGCAGTTAAATATATGGCTAATGAGGCTGGTGCTAATTTTTAACCTTTTATTAATGCTGCTTTAAGAATTAAGCCACTTAAATTAATTTAAGTGGCTTTTTTGTATCTATAACTTTAATTATCAGGAATATTTATCCTTTTCAATGACAACATATGCAATTGGTGATGTTCAAGGTTGTTTTTATGCTTTTCAAGATTTGTTAAAAGCTATCAATTTTGATGAAAAGAAGGATCAACTTTGGTTAGTTGGCGATATTGTCAATCGTGGCGGTGGTTCTTTAGCGATGCTTAGGTGGTGTGTGGCGCATCAATCACGTATTCGTGTGGTGTTGGGTAATCATGATCTCCATGCTTTAGTGGTGGCTAATGGTATTGTGCGAGCGCACAAAAGTGATACCTTGGATGAGCTTTTGGCTGCGGACGATTGTGCTGAATTATTAGAATGGCTGCGTCATCAGCCTTTAATGGTGCAAGAGGGCGGATATGTGATGGTGCATGCTGGTTTGTTACCACAATGGACTGTTTCTGAAGCGCTGTCCTATGCAAAAGAGGTGGAGGCCGCTCTTCAAGCAGGTGATTATGTCAATTTTTTAGCGCATATGTATGGTAATTCACCAGATCATTGGGTGGATGATTTAACCGGTTTTGATCGATTAAGGGTAATCACGAATGCGATGACTCGTTTAAGAATTTGTTCAGAAGCAGGGGTGATGGAGTTCAAATTTAAAGGAGAGTTGCCCGATATCCCCGTTGGTTTTATGCCTTGGTTTGATGTATCAAATAGAGTAAGTCAGGATGCTTTAATTGTTTTTGGCCATTGGTCTGCCTTGGGTTTGCAGCATCGGAATCAAGTGTATTCATTAGATACGGGTTGTTTATGGGGTGGTCAATTAACCGCATTGGCGCTGGAAACAAAGGTGATTACACAAGTGCCCTATCATTTAAAAGATAACCCAGTGATTAAGCATTTTTAAAAGTAAAAAGATTTAGTTAATTTGAATACAGTTTTTGATGGATTAATTGATGCAGTTGATTGGTTAGAGTGCGTCTATCTTTTTCTTCTTTACTAAGCGATGAGATATCGATTTCTTCAAAAAAGTATAATTCAACGCGAGATTGACGTTGTGTCAAAATGGTGAAAATTGATTCAATCATGGTCGTATCACCGATATAAGCCATATGAAGATTGGCTGAACCATCGTCGTTTGGGTAAAAAATAGCGACTGGTTGTATGTTACTTTGCGTATCAATCGGTGCTTGAATTAAAGAGCCTTTAAAATTCAACATTTGGGTACCATCTGTGGTTGTGCCTTCCGGGAAAAAACA